ATATTGAAACAAAGTATTGGATACTGAAGGAATCAAACTCTTAATTACTTCTGCTGAGTGAAATGTTTTTGCTGAGAATGTGAGTTTGGTCAGCCTTGGTCATTGCCCAAAAATGTGGCATGCCAGGCCTCAGTATTTAGAGAAAGTTGGATGTTGCAACTGAAGTTTTAGACGAACTGGAAATGCTGTGATTTTAAGGGCAGCAAGGCATACAGACAGTTCTTTTCTAAAATATGTTTACCAAAGGTAATGGCCAGATAGACACAGTGGTAAAAGTTACCATTCAATCAATGGCTGCTTAGTGTTTATTTAGAGTTTAGAATAAAAATCTCACTGTTAACTGAAGAACTGCTGCAAAGAAATGCACAGTGTGTCTGGAAATCCCTTGGAAAACATTTACAAAGGAGGTGGTGATAAACAAACAAGACCTAATACCTAGCATAATGCTTTTATAGGACATGTTTTATTAAGAGCTTTGTATTTTTGCTCTGCCTGTCAGGAGAATCCTTTATCCTCAAAGCTCTCATTGCAGATTTACTGTAAAATGTAGCTCTCTATTTTTAATCAGATATGGGGAATGAGGGGAGTCATATATCCAAAAGCATTAACAAGTAATACTGAACAACTCTGAAGGCACATTTATTGGAGACTTCAATTTGACTGTGAACTTAAATGGCTATCTCTGTTTTGGTGTTGATGCATCATGAAATTACTCTCACACACTGATCCAGGTTTATTCATTGTCTGCCAAGAACTGAATATTGTAGTCCTTTCACATGGGGAGTCTGGGCAATTTTTTTCCCTGTAACAAATCTCAGATATGTCAAAAGACAATGTATTATTTAGGAATGTGCTGCAGCCAGTTCTGCTCTCAGCATAGCAGCTCATGATGCTGTAAACACTGGGCACGAGCCTGTGTGCTAGGAAATGCTGAGTTACTGCACCAGACACATGGGAACTGTTAAATGGGAYCTGATTTTCAGAAAGGGAACATCCAACACTCCCTGAAACTCACAGTTTCAGGTGTTCAGAAAGGAGACAGCTAAAATAAGACATTTCCAAAAGTGTACATTTTGTTCTTTTAGGGCAAAGTTAAGAAATATTCAGTCAATAATTCAGCCAAGAATTTTAAGACTTATTTTGAAGGCTGCTCTGTATGTGTAAATGCAGTTATAAAATGAGAACTCTAGGTATGGATTTCCTTTAAAACTACATTTTGACATGTAGAGCTTTSTAGACATAAATTCTATCATTAGCAGGTCATATTTCCAAGACTTTAAGAACTTTTCTTAGATTCAAGATAGAGTTTCAGTAGGAATATATGTTTTAATAGAATTAATTTTTGAAATAAAGGGAATTACAATTCCTAACTTTAACAAACTTGGTGAATTCCTGGGATCCAYTTCAGCTGTTTTTTACAAAATCTCTTAGCAGTGCTGGTTTCTTGTGACACAGCTGATTGATATTGCTGCATTAAATGGGAGATGGAAGTTGAACCTTTTTCAGCAGCACATGGTTGGTTTTGATAGTGTATCTTACTATATGTTTTAGCAACAATTTGCAAGTGTTGTATAAGCCTTACATATTCCTGGAATAAATCAACTAGCAGTTATCTCTGGGGACATATCCTAATTTTTTCTCTAAAAATAGAGTGACAGATTATATTTACATTATGTTAAATTTTAACTAAAAAAGAAAAGCGCTGAGCTGATGCTATTGCTGTGAGGGGAGGTGGAAAATTATGGAAATTCCAGTTATTATGGAGACAAAAATTGATTTTTCAGATGATATTTTATTTCTGCTTWTATTTTAAAACTGTCATTGTTCTATTCCCTTAAATGCTAAGAGTCCTGGTCACTGTTATGAGAACTTCACAATGTAAGTTATGGAGAGTACAATAAATAGTTGAAACATGGTATAATATGTAGGMAATCATACACAGTAAGAAAGCCTTCTGTACAGAATCTGTTTTCTTCTGCCCTAACACTGTAATGCATTGTGGTACAGCAAATGGTAAATATATTGGTGTGAGTTCTTTCTGATTTATGATATTTTTACATATCTTGAACTGAGTGGATAATAGATTTATTTACTATGTAAAACTAAGCTGTGGATAAGTTGGTCTGTACCATATAAACTCAAGCATTTTTCTCTAGGATAAGACAGAGTTGGTTTAGCTTGAGGAGTTTAGAGTTGCATCTCCTGAACTGATGATAGGAACTGTAGCCTACTTCACCTAGAGAGAGTGGATGCAAAATAGTGTATGTGAGTTACATTTAATTCATCCATATAGATTCAGAAATTTCATGCTTTTCTCTGTTAGTCTCTGACTACCTCCAGTTCAATTAAATACGTTATCTGCTGCAGAATCATTTTATGATGCAAAATTGGCRAAAAAAGCACACTCAGCTTGGGACTGTTATTTGCTTGATTGTGGTATTTTTGATGATTCTCTCTCTATAAGCTGCTGCACAGGCAAACCTTCTCGTTTATGTAGGGAAAGCCAGTGCAGTCACTGTAACCATTAGTATRTTTTAAATTTTCTATAAGCACTTTGTTTTGATAATGTGAAGAACTTTAGTTGTTTAGACTAACTGTTCTAGCTTTGGATTTGAGCAGTRGTGGTAGATCTGGTTTCCTGAAGCACTGGGGAATCTCACAGAAGGGGTTTCAGAGAGCTCTGGGGTGGAACCTGAGCTGAGTTCCATCAGCTGAACACCAGGGCTGCTGTGACACCAGCCTCCCTCTCTTGTGCTTGTAGCCATGGCTGCAGAACTTCCCTGGCTTCACCCCTTTTTTATGTAACTCATGACACACCAACCCATTCCAATAAATCTCTTCAGAGCCCATCATGTAATTTTTGTACTTGTAATGCAGKTTCCCTTGGCCTTGTGAGCTGAACCTTCTCAACTAGTTTGAAATACACAATCTCTTTCTTCTAAAGGATGATGGGGATAGTRCAGCTCAGAATTGCTGTTCAGGCCCAGCTGCCAGCATCCTGGGGGACTACACCAAGCAAGCTGGTGTCATTTGCCACACCTCCACAACTTTCCTCAGCAAATTCAGCTGCTAGAATCCATACAAGTGGCAGTTGACATGAATTACCACCACCTCTGAATACAATTACTTAGCAAAATTATTTAAGATGAAAAACCAAAATGGTAGCTAAGAACAAAATTCTATATTGAGGTGTAATAAATTATCAAGACAGTTAAATATCTTCACTAGAAGGAGAAATCAGAGCCTCAAGATACATTTCTAATTAAAGATGACTATTTAAAATTTTATCTCAGTTTGACCTCATCATAATTAATGAAGATGTATATTCCAATGTCATGAARTTAAGTGGAAATTATCAATCTAATAACTTTATTGTAAGAAAATCTATATCCTGAATAGAAAACCATTTTGTTTTAACTGATGGGAGATCTGATGGGATTCAGAAGAAATCCTCAGAGATGASCATTTCAAATCAATAATGATTGTCTACTTTCAGTGTCTTTGGTAAAATATATTGTACAAGTGGATAGAGAAGCACATGCAYTGAGCAGTATAAACAGTTAATGTGAGAGCCCTTCACTTGTGCTGCTGGGGGGCTTTGCACCTCTGGGTAGCACTGAGTGGCAGAAGAAATGCCATTGTATTCAGTATGTTTAGTGAAAGCACTTAACAATCTTCATTTAACAATTACCTAGAGAGCTAAACCAGCATCTCGTGTGACCCAAGTTCTTGGATTACACATGTGACTACTGCTCACAGCCTTTTYCCCTAACTTATTCTCAGAATTATTMCTGATCTCTTGYTATAGAAATCCAGACTGATTTGGTCCCYAAGGTCTAACGAGAAGGCTCTTCCTCACCCACGTTTCTGTTGCCGCRTAGAAAAACTATTGCTGACTGACTGTGAAAAAGTGGCAAATCTCAGAAAGATGATTGATAGTGCCAGAGTGTATCCAAACTGAAATGGCCTTGATTGACATTATGGGACATGAGACATGTCATGAAGAAGAATCAAACTGTCACAGAAATAGAAAGCCTCCACGCTGTATATGGAAGCCTGCATTTTATATTTATACAGTACACTTGTACGCTAGTCCTTATTTTGTCTGCACATTTTATCTATGCTCTTTGTAAAAGCCCCAGTGTGGTTATCTTCAGCTGCTGTTTTATAGCAAGAGTCTGACATGAAGGCTTGCAATCAGACATCATTTTGTAAACAAGGAAAACATATGCTATATATAAACGATAAGGAGCTGTGAATTGCAGGCCTGTCTCGATACTGAGGGTTTCTTTGGTGATCTTACAAATCATAGCAGGGGATTCTGAAAGGATTGTGAAGCAACCAGAATCAGTAATCAGCRTGAGTACACTCGTTATTAAAAGTCAGTTTCAAAAAAGCACACTTAGAAGGACACTGCATTTAAATTAGATTCTTTTTACTCCAGCGGCCTATTTCCCTCTCTTGTCTTTAACTCCCTTGTCTTTCATTGCTCTCTGTGAATACAAGTGACTATGAAGTAATTTAAAAAATAATATAGTGAAGAAGAATATATAAAACAATGTGTACTAAATTAATGCCTGGATAATGCACCAGTGCAGGTAGACTTTTTCCAGCATACTATAATCAGAAATACACRATTTATGACATGTTTGTGTAACAAGTACACATTTTAAGATGAGGGCAAAATCTGCCTTTATGGCTCTTYCTTCAGCAGTGAGGAGGACACTACTAACATTTATTCACAGTGTTTAAAAGGAGCATAAGTGAAACTCTTAGGAAACAAGGATTCGTCTGGCTTAGGTCTAAATCCATAACAAACTTGGGAAGAACCTGTTCCTTGTAGTCTGGAGTCTCTACCAGGTAGAGAAATGTTTCCTCTGTGCATGTCAAAGCTCATGAAAAGCCTGTATAAAAGCACTAGAAAGTTGTAAGAATGTCATGATTGATCCATAAGGATCCCATTCCATTGTGCTGGCTGAGGATGTACAGAGAGCACTGACCTGATCTGAAGCCAGGTGAGCATGGGTGTGGTGCCYCCCCCAAACACCCAGACTGTGAAGAACACGATCAGCAGGGCCGTGGTGAACATCATCTGTTTGGGCTGTGAGTCTGTGTCTCGAATGGCCAAKGCGAAGGCAATTGCACCACGTAAACCTGAGCAAAGACAAGGCTGATGAACTTCATGTGATGGAGAAACAGAATTTTCATCTTTTCAGTCCAAACCCARTTCTAAGGGCAGGGGGAATTTTCAGATCATAATCCTGCTTATAAAATACTGAATTGTGCTAACTGAAAGGATGGGATTTAATGCAGCAACTTTGCAAAAGTGGACAATGAAATTATTCTCATATTCACATAATAATACACTTGCTTTATGACCACTGAGTTCTTTGTCTTGAATAATCACAAATTAAGTAGTAATCTGAACTTTATGCAGGTTGAAAAAGAGCTCTACAGCCTKTGTTAAGTAGGACTACTCACAAAGTCAGTAGCAAGAGAAGAAGAGGATTGGCATTAAAATCTCTATCCAAATAAGCTAATAATTTTTTCCTTGAAAATACAGAGTATTTCTTTAAAACGTCTTTAAAATAATGTATTGCTCTGACACTAGTCAGAAAAACCATGATTTAAAAACAATGAAGAGTTTTTCAAATGTGATTTTTAATATCTAAAAGGGGATGTAGAATAAATTTCTGCACTTGGAACATTAGAAAGTTTGTAGAATTATACATTTACAGAGACTGTATAGGCAAGAAATTACAAAGGTGGTGAAAGCAGCTAAATGAGTTAAAAAAAAAAAAAAAGCCCCATAGGTAGTAATAAGGTGACTAAATAGGTCTTCACAGAATGCCATGTTTAAAAATTGAGGAGGAAAAAGCCTGCTGCTGCCTCCAGCCCTCAGGATGCATAGTATAAATAATACTCTATATTTTCCAATGCCTTTCAGTTATCTATTTAAATATACTTTATTGCCTTCTCTAAAAATATTTCACAAAAATAAGCATAGAGTGCAAAGTCATTATATGTGTACAATACACACTGAATACAAAAAGTACTTTGCAAGTATTGAGAGGTTAAATCTAGTAATCAAACCTCTTGTAAGGCACTGATGACATATGCAGAATCATTTAATTAACTGCCAAATGCTGCTATTTTTGGCCTAGAACTCCAAAGCTTTTCAAGATTACATAGCTAGAAAGTGAATTATTTGGTAGAGAAGCTGGGCACTTTATCCAGGGAACAGCACAAAGCCATCTCTGCAAGGAAGAAGCAGACTGGAGTTACACTCTGGAAATAGTCAGTGGCAGCAGSTTCAAAACACTGCAGGCAAACACTGGGCTTGTCCTTGGCTTTGCTTTTGTGTAAACGATGTCTCTGAGGATGCAGATGCTTTACTGTTTTCTTTCAGGGATAAAATATCAGCTCATTTTAAACACGTCTTAAACACTATTGAAATGATCTTTTTTTCAGTGGTTGTAGTGATAATCTGGATGATTAGCCCCACTACATTTCAGGGGAAAACAATGCTGCTTTCCACAATTGCATTACACCTTCAGTTTTTCATCTAGAACACCTAGAACATTGTAAGAGGGGATATACACATATATATTTATATATGCATATATATCGATAGTTAATTAATATGTCTCTACTTCTTGAGCACTGGACTGGCTGTTTCTTCAGTTTAGAAAAATAGTGAGTGAATTAATTGCATTTTTCATTTATAAAAGGCTCAACACAGTCTATAATAGATAATTCAGTTTTAACTAAAGTCATATCTATGGTAAAATAAATAATCATACTAAACATTTGCCTAATTTGAAAATTAAAGCAGCGGGAAGCAGATGAATATACCTGAAATGTAAAGACTTCGTGAGAAGCAAGGAATACTACTATGTATATTTGTATATATATATATGTATATATTTTGCTTTCAAAATACTTTCCAGGTAATAATGCAAATGAAGGAAGGGAATTTTAACAACCTCAGAAAATGCTGAGATACTGAAATAGASTGAAGTTAAGGCATATTAGATTTTCAGGGAAAAATGCCAACAAAGCCCAGAGGAATGATTGGATCTTCAGCTATACCTGGGGACAGTGGTGCATTAGAAGGAAAAACTGATGAATCATTAGCAGAGACTCTCTCCCCTCATCTTTCAGAGATGCTGCACTGGCAGCAGCTCCACATCTGTGCTAATCCTTGGGCTGTATCACAGATTTCCTAACAGATTTTTTTTTAATGCCAGCCATTAGGGAATCATCTTTAAGCAATATTCTCTAATGTGCCAGAGCCTACAAAGAAAACCAGCACAGGGCTAAACCAGAACCCTACAGAACAGAAACCGTGTGCCCTGCAGGGCTGTTTGGCATCCTTCACCTCACTCCCCACAGACACCTCTCCAAACCCAGCCCTCTGAGGAGCCTGTGAGGGCTGGAGTGTTTGCTGTTGGTGCAAAAAGAATCTGCCAGGAAAGGTGGTTTTCTGGGCGTAGATCTGGTGTTTTGATTTCAACCGCAGTTCTCTGCTCTTTTCTTCCTCTCTTTCTTTTCTATTTAGCTGATTTCTTGACATATCTACATCTCTTGGAGAAGTTCACATTGACACTTCCCACCTCCGTGTCTGCATGAGTGTGCAGATGTAAATGCCTGCACAAAGCTGCCTGTACTCTGGCATTTTTTGGTTTAATATTTCATTTACGTTCCTCCTTTTCCGACTCCACKGCTGCTGTAATGCCTTACATTAACAGCAACCACCCCTGTAGCACTGTGTCCCACAAGCCTCTCTATTGCTGATTTAGATGTTGTGGAGAAGAGGAAAGCACAGCAAAAAGCAAACAAAGATGTYGGAAGTGGAAGGTGCAATAAAGTCTAAGATTTTAAAACATTTCTTTTTYACATGAGCAGTCTGCTGGACTGCTCATTTTAGCTGATGTTCAGCCTAATTTGAGAAGCTCAGGTTTAATTAGTCCTTGTATAAAGAACTAATCAAGTTTTCATTTACAATGGGATGTTATCAGGAATCCTGATTAAAAACAGTTATAGAAGTGAATCCACYCTCTGGAATGTATTGGTAGAGGAGTGGCAGAGGTAGATGAAGAATGTGATAAATCAAAATGCTACATAATCCATGGCCAAGCCTAACTCTCCCACCTTCTCTCAAGTGTATTAATACTCATCAAAAAGCAGAACTTAATGACTTCAGAAGAGTTCTTTGCAGAGTAAGGTATAATCAAATGCTAATGAACAGTGTACTTGCTGACCTTAATTGCTTTTCTCAGCAATTTTTCTCAGCAATCACTTTGGTGATTGTGGCAGTAAAACAAGCAGTAAATGTTTGGTGGGTTTGGTAATGATAAGATAGAAAACAAAACTAACTCCAAGTTCATTGTTTTCTACATCTGAATGTGTGATGCTGTGGTGAATGAAGCCCAATTTCCCTGTTATCAACTAGAACCTGATGCTGTACTGGAACAATAAAGGTGGTAAAACACACACTGRGCTGGTGGATGCCTCATCCCTGGAAACACTTGAGGTCAGGTTGGGTTGGGGCTCTGAGCARCCTGATCCAGTTGAAGATGTCCCTGCTCACTGCAGGGGTTTGAACTGGATAACCTTTAAAGGTCCTCTCCAACCCAGATTGTTCTATGAATATTGCTACTGATCTTCTGTACCTAACGTTTTCCTTCAGACTCAAATTCAATGTCTTGTTTACTCATCAGAAACATCTCCTGGCAGTCGTTGTCCTCTCTGTTTATCATCATATAGTGTGATCAATTTACAGCACTAAGAATGCTGTTGGTACTAAGCACAAATCTTGGTGCATCTTAAAAAATATGGTCACACAGAAAATCCATATATCCTGTGTTCTGTGAAGTGTGCAGCTGCTGGCAGCCAGAGAGACAGTCTTTATAATAATAGTTGCAGATTATGCTATTTACTTTATTAAAATATGGAGACATTCTTCTCTGCAAAATAGTTTTTTTTCCTTTGAAAACAGTTAAAAATTACTTTTCTGAGGATTTTAACATTCACATTGTAGAAGCCTGCAATACTACTGTTTYAGTTCTCAGCTGCCAGATTGTCCTGGAAAGCTCCTGTGTGTGAGTTCTCACATTCAGTGGCTGGCTGCAGGCTACTTTCTGCTCCTGTTCTGTGGAGAATGAAATTTGACTSCAGAAAATGAGGATGGAAAAGTTAAAGAACAAGACAGATTTCACAAGTTTTTCCATTCTATAYTTTAGCTGATGAAAACCAAAAGCCAAGATGGAGCCCAGAAAGTAGATACCAACTGATAGGAAGCTATTTTTCATGCAGTTGTCTAGTTGGCCACCTGCTAGGATTCCTAGAGGGATCTGCAGATCCAAGCTAGCCGTGGAACAATTGCAGGGGAGCAGTCGGGCTGAAATGCAGCTCTGCTCGATCTGTCATCATCTCTCACTCCAGTCTCGCTGGAATTAGCTGACATTTTCAGTGGCAGCTTTTAGCAGAAGGATTGAATGGGTAYAGAAATGAACTGCTGTGTGTTCTCGAGAGAGTTGGAATTACACAGGCATAAATGAGGCCCCCTGATGTGGAGTGCTCCTGATGAGGAAGCTTGAAATGCAGCACATTGTATTTCACTTGTTATCGGGCTAAATGGATCGCTGTACATCAAGGCTGTCAATCAAGAACTTTTATCCATAAAWATGTGGAATACATTTTTGTATAAAAAGCCAGAAGATGAAGCAAAAAAGGTGCTGACTTTCTAATTTTAGAAAATTGCATCATCAATAACATTGGGGGATCTGCATTTCTGCCTTTTACCGAAAAGATATTCTTAGCTTAYAAGTGAGTTTTTCCTAACTAGCATYAGAAAGTCAAGTGGAATTATTTCTAGCTTGTGCAAGTAAAAAAAAAATACGGAATCCAGATGAGTTTTAACAGTTCAGGGGATGATGTTYAAATCAGACTAGAACATGGCTCCCTCTTCTGGATTTTTAATTATTTTTTATTGTTCTACAAAGTTAACAAAATGAATAAAACCAAATATCAAGCTGGAGCATGCATGAAAATGTCTGGGGAATGAAAATCTTCTAGTCTCATGTTTCAAAGTAAAACTTTCCTGAAGTTTGGCAATGCAGGCACTAAAGACCATGTCTGATTTGAGTATCAGTAATAACATCATCCAAGTTGCATATTTATTTGTTGCTATGTAAAATACTCTCAGGTATACTACAGGTGCCTCAAACAACATAAAACCATGATATTCCTAAATTGCCATGGAAATATAGAMAGATAGGGGGACAATGGATTGAAAGACAATGGCTTCCTGGGCAGTGGGTTTCCAAAATGTTAAATAGGTCAAGAGCACAGGAARGTTGATGAGAATGCAGCCATTTGCTTCAGTAGCTTTGAAGAGATGACCTTGAGTTTTAAGACAATGAGTTCTTTGTGATAGATGTGGCTTTTTCCAGTGAGAGGTGACTATTTTTGTCAGTCATTAAATGTGAACAGGAAAAATACCAAAAATACCAAAATAGCTCTTACCTGAAAACATCATCATGTGCTGAAAGTTCCTGGGAATCTTTTGTTTTCGACCCAAATTCAAAAGGAAAGAAAGTGGGTATATGTTGCAAGCTCTTGCTACAAAAACTGCCACCTAAAATGTAAGATGTTGAGGAAAATAGTGGACGAACCACTGACAAAACTAGAATTAGCCTAAATATTTCTCTRAAGTTATTTTGAAAGTGCAATTAAAACAAATATATTATCTTTTCTCGTGTTTTAGATGTCATGTCTTTCTGGTTCCAGTAAAACTGTGCTGTGGCAGAGATTTGCCTTCCCCAGACATCCTGGTTTTATATTCATCATAATATAGCCCACTTCAATCACTCTACTACTCATCACATTTGTGTCACATGTGACTTCATCTTCAGCCCTTCAGGAAAATGCCCATCATCAATTGCAGAGATAGCATTGTCTCTCTGAGMAGCAATTTGCAGAGAATAAACGTGCTTTTGGACCTGATTATTACTTCCTTATTTCCTGGCGATTCATAGTGTCTATATCCAGCACTTTTTGTGTTTTCTTCCCTTCTCTCTGGAAATTCTTCAGGTGAGGTTCTTTGTTACTTCTCTGTGGCAGGGGAGCAAACCAGCAACTGTCTAAAGAACGTGTGCTTACATGCATTGGGGCAGTTATTAGGCCATAGATAATGGATGATTGCACTTGGAATTGACAAAAACCTGATTTTTAGTTTTCAAGGAACTGCGTGGTTTTCTTGTTGAATTCTTTTTTTCGCATTGAACATGCATTCTTTTTATATATAAACACACACATGTACAGAGATAACACTTCTTCAAAGCAAAGGATACAARTGCACCAAATATAAAAAGAGGATTGAAGATGTGATTTTGAAATGTAAATAGWGCGAGTCCCATGTAACAGAAGATGACATTCTCAGCCAAAAAATTCATGAACTCGAACAACTTAAATGAGAGAAAAAGAACATAATTATGACTCATATCTGTAACAAACTACTGATTATCCCAGGTTCCCTTGGAATACAGAACTGTTTAGATGAAGGGAACAGAAATTGGTGCTATTTCAAGGGTGKATTTTAAACCCACCTAATTTGCTGTACAGTATACAAGGTGTCTTTAAGCTTTAAAAACCATAGTTGCTTGCATGTTTTTCTCTGATTTGTATATGAAAGCCTGMCATAGAAAACTTGTGAAATACGTAAACAGCAAGTAAGTTATACAAGCTTCAATGAAATGACAAGGAAGCTGAGGGAATTCAACTTCGCTTATTTTTACAAAGGTGAACCTGGGAAGTTGTTCCTGGTTACACAAGTGGCTGTACATAATGGGTATWCTAATGCTAGAGAGAAAAAAATTTYCTWAATGAACTTTTAAGAATCTGKGTCTTTAAAAYAGAGCCCAGTCTTWCTCAYTACCATGAATATTATCCTGKAAATGGAGACTCTTATTGCACTGTATGGGCATCAATATCAATATTCAGTTCAAACCAAACTATTTAAAATATCATTTAAAGGTATAATGGGCTTAAAATACATGCCTAGGGTGGTATTTCTTCTGTGAAAAAACAAGTAAAGCCAAAATACCCGTTTGCCTTGAGGAGATGTTCTTGATTGTACTTGCAACTGATCATATTAAAACTGATAAAATAAATTTTCCTGTTTATCCATATCTAGAACAAAGTCAATCAYTTGCTGCCAAATAGCCACAGAGGAGAGAAAAAGGGAATTTTCACTTYTGAAGTCACTTTTGAGCTCAGGGTTCTATGCCAGCAGATCCTGATGCAGAGTTAGGACCAAAGTTTGTCAGTCTGCAACCAACCATCCATCATAATGTTGCTATGGAGATGTTTTATTCATCCTCAGTGGGCTTATGTATTTTTTGTAATATGTTTGTGCTTCTGAAACTAAATATCCAGTAACAGTTGCTAAAATTTAACAAAGGAAAAATGAGAGCTGTCACAATCATTAAAACAAATTTGAGAGGCAAAATGGCATAAAACCCATTAGTATATGGGAGGATATTTTGGACTMTGTGGCAGCACCATCAGTTATCCCAAACACACATTCCATAGCCCTCATTTTGTGCTGCAATTCTGAACAACATGAAAACAAACACAAAAAATATTTGTATGTAAGTAGTCGTAAATGGTTTAAATTAAATTTAAATGAGAGAAACTAGTTGTCAAAAACTTTATAGTATGGGATCTTGTGACCCACAGAAATTATGATAAATCCTTACATTTCCACTTGGAAGCAAATGTGACCCTATGTCTTTGTGGGAATATTATCTGATGCATTATTTAAAACAATAGAAAAATGTATCAGGAATGCCATTACAGGATCTAGAGCTCTCTAAAATCTGTAACTATGTGAAAATCTTTTGAGGGAAGGATACTGCTATGAGGAGCCCCAATTGCCACCATACTGTAACTGTTATTATGAGATAAAGTGCTCTACAGGTTTTGAAGCTGAATGGTATTTCATTTTTCATTTAGAAAATCTCATTCAAGACTCAAAAAAAATTAAAGTAGATGYACTATTTATTTTAGAAACAGAGATTCTGAAACTAAATTTCCTTCCTTGTATCTTCAAAACTTCGGTTCACATACATTTTTGGAGGAAAACAGATTTTTTCCATATCACTGTTTTTGCTCTATACTTTTTCTCTGCAATCTTACTAAATTCAAGCTTTTACTCTTGCCTGAAGTGCTTTCACGGCATAACTGATTTTAAACTTCTCAGCCGTTGTCTCCCAACAATCTGATCAAGATGCAGTCTTTATGGATTTCTTGTAAATCCAGTTTAGTCCATCTTTTTCATTTCCTATAACTTTACCTCCTTTTGCTCGCTACATGCATCCTGCTTCTTCCTACTTCAAATCTCCAGGCTCATTCCAGTAAAAGGTTGTTAAAGAGAAAAAATCCCTCATTCTTGTCTGGGCATTTCCACTCGACAYGAGCAATACATTCTTCATTTTCTTCCTGGGCGAATGTGTTGTGTCTCACAGCACAGGCCTGGTGTTTTTCTTGACCTGTATTCAGGGGGGATGTAACACTTTGTAGTCCTAAAATCTGTGTCAGATGCATCCAGTGCTGGAATCTTATTGTTGGACATATTTTTTTTCCTGTGAGTTTTTGTTTTGGTGTGATTTGTGTGAGTTTTTATTTTTTGTTTGTTTTTGTTTTGTTTTGTTTTGTTTTGGTGTGGGGTTTTTTTTTTGTGTGTGTGTCTGTCTGAACTATGCTGGGTTTTTCCCCCTTATCTCTAGTTTCTCCATATTTTGATCTTCCTCTATGAGAACACTGCTTGCTTGCTAGAAGATTAAATCCAGACTACTTTTCTTCCTTTGTGTAGAAAAGATCCAGGTGCTATTACAATAGCTAATTTAGAGCAGGCTCCACTCCTTCCTATTTCAGGCACAATCATGATATGGTCTTTTATCAAAGACTCAGCTCCTTAAAATGATAGAACTAGCTTGTGAGCTTCATTCAGAATCTTCTGTGTTCCCCACATAGTCTGCTCTCTCTTTTTAAAAGTCTATCACTCACTCTTATGTTATTCACTGAGTGCACCTTATTTAAATTTTTCACCATGAGTTAAGAAAAAATTAAATAAAACAACTGCTTCAGAACTAGTTATTGTCATGAAAGAAGTGATATCTGAATGCCTTTTCCTGGAACATGACACTTGCAGATAAAACATAAAAATTACCCACTGTTCTCYTGACTTTTCTTTCATGTATTTAAGCATAGTGTTTTATTTAGTGCTCAGCTTCTGTGCTTTGTTCAACAGTAATGCAGAGCCCATGGAGAGATTCCATTTAGCACTTAACTGTCAGTGCTGTGCAGCACAAATCCCTTCAGAGCAAAACAATTTGTTCTAAAGAGATCTTCTGAAAACCATGTTAAGAAACAGCTTCCATAGGAGCATTTTCCCAAATTGTCATGCCTTTCAGTCAGATGTTTCTGTCGTTATTTTCAAGATGAGATGTCAAGACCTTTTGATGAGAGGTAGAAAAACGGGAGGAATAGGCTTTCAAGTGCAATTTAAAAATTCCAGGGTCACCCAAGGAGTAGCACCATACACAGCAGCCTCTGGAGGACATCCTTTCCTGTCTGAGGGGCTGTAAGCCAGCTCCATGCTGTGCTCCATGGGCTGCCTRAATGTCACTCAAACATTTTTAATATTTTGAATATATGTACTTGCAAGTGGGATTACTTTTGTGGGATGAACAAGTTAGGATTAAAGTGCTGGATACTGAGTGTTTGGAAGTATTTTGTCTAGAACCACAAATTTCCTTCCCTTGCCACCCACACAGACAACCAAGCTCTTTATACTCGAAATGATGTTGGCATTAAAGTGCTTATACACCACCATTAGTTTTCCCAAGGCTACCAGRAAACCATTGAATCATACACAGAGCAATAAGACATCTTTTTGTTGTAAAACTAAAACCCCTCATTTGTAATGTGGCATTTCTAACTCTCCACGAAGTCCATAAATCTSCTTRTACTTTTAGTATAAGAGCTGTAATAAATCACCAATGTCAACACATTGCAGAGTAGAGTATTAATTACAAAAACACCAGTTCAGAACTAATCCAGGCACTTGGTTTAGGTGTTTAGCTCAGTGAGTTACTGAAAATGGTATTTGCTTTTCTGTGGTAATTTCCTCTGTAAATAGTGATTATTACAAAAGATTTGTATTAAAATTGACATAATTTTTAGGAATTTAAAACCACATCATTCACTGAATATGCTTCACTTTTCTATTACTCTCAGCTGTTGTAAGTACTAAGAGGGATGTGCAAAAGTTTGGTTTTAAGCTGGAACATTGTTCTGGAAAATGCYGCTTGCAGTTCAGTTCTCACTGGCAGAGGAAGGAATCAGTCCAGGTTATCAGCACCTCCAGCCTTGCTGTGACCACTGAGTTTATCTTGCACCAATGTTTTATTTTAACTCAAGTGAAAAAATGCTTATGATATAAAAACTGTACTAGTTTTACCTTTTCGGTGAGATAAGGAAAGTGTGGTCTCTTTTCCTCTCCTTCCTTTCCTCCACACCCACAGTTAAATTCCAGCCAATTAGAATAATAAACTATGCCAGAATGGCTTTTGCAACTTGATTTATTTTCTAGAACTACTTATATTTTCACTGAGTATTAGAGAGATTTTCTRGGTAAGTAATTAGTGCACCTAGAAGATGGAACACACTAAGTACCAATCTCGTCTGCAATAAAAATAGAATTCCTTAAAGGATCATCAAAAGGAGAAAATGAACATAATCTGTGCCACAGTCCCCTTGTGGCTGTAGAGATGGAAAATGTGCAATTTTCAAATACTGGTAATTTAAAGAACATTTCTCAAGGGAATAAAGTTAGTATGACAGGACTGGGTGAAAGCAGAATGGCAAACAGCATTCTTTCCTCTTGAGGGAATAACATTAGTRTGGAGGTATTGGGTAGAAGCTGAATTACAGCCACAAATTCCTTCYAGCAAAATTTAGTGAATTTTAATCATTGATGGCAATATTGCATTKGTTCACTTGATTTAATATCAGCTGAAGGAATGTCATCCACCTCTTGCAGGTACCTGCAGGCCTTCAGCAGTTGCACTGATTTTGCTAAAAACACGGAAAATGCCTCCTGTCTGGGGGTGCACCCTACAGGGACACATYCTTGCATCACAACAGGGAGTTTCCAGAGTCCAACAGCAGCTAGGAAGCTAGGATGTAAAATTGATTATATTTTTATGAGAGATCTAAAGGTGGCYGAGTTATTAAAAACCCAAGATGTCAATATTATTTGATGGTTATAACTTTTATGATATTTGTATAATGCTATTTAATTAGATCACAGCTATCAAAAATACTCCATRAAGTCAAGGATATTGATAAATTAATAATTGATGAAAATTGCTTTTCCCTAACTCTTTTGAATTAAAATGCA